ATCAAAACCCCTCTCACAAAACAAACACCTTCAATCGCCTTATGTTTGGAAGAAAACTCAACCAATCGAGATATAAAAGGAGAGAATGCATCATAGATCTTTGAAACATGATCATCTGTGATTTTTCTAATTGGACAAGAAGATGAACTTAAAGAAGTGGAACCGAGTTCTGATCTTAATGTTCTCCATTCTTTGTCCCCACTTAGTCTCCCTGGTAATGAGATGGTGTCATTTTCTTGAGAGTGTAGGTTTTTCTCTAGCTCTTTTGCTTCATTTTGGTCACGTTCATCAAGGGTAGAAATGGAAATTTTCATGTTCTTTCTACATTCTCTTGTTATGTTCTTTAAAACATTGGGTAGAGAAGACTCTGTGATTAGGTTTCTACGCGATAGAACTTCATGCCACTTTCTTGTGTAACGTTTAGTCACATCATACACTCCATCTCTTGAAATTGCAATTGTATAATTCAATTTCTTGTTCCACCTATAATGAAAAGAAAAGTCATTGTAAATATAGATAGAAATGTAATTTACCATTTTTACCAAAATAGGCAACATACTTTGTTTTTTTTTTTTAGCAACAATTGTAAGTTATAAACATGATGACATGGCAATGGTTGTTGCCATGTCATCGGCCACATCATCTTACCTTGTGCATAACAAACAATGATGTGTGTGTTTTTTAATCTTTTGTTTGTTAATGTCAACTAGGATGATATTAGGTGTAATCTGTAAACTTTGTATTAGGTAAGGATCATTTTTGTAAGAAAGTTTTGTGACAAAAATGTAAATTAAAAAACTTTTGTGGCTAAAGTCTAAAACCCTAAAACTATACTTTGTGGCCAAAGTGTAAAATAGGAAACTTTTGTGGCAAAAGTCAAAAAGTATAAAACTATACTATTCCTAAGAACTTTGCTTTTAATATATACTATAATATAATGGAAAGAATGTTTATGGGTTTTGTGTTTGCATAAGTAAATAAAAGGAATTAATTAAAACAACAAATTGAATCTTTAAAAATAAATGAAAATGCCACATTGCATTGATTGCTATTTTCCACAATTTGCCCTTGACAAAACAACTAGATACTGAAATTCAATAACATAATATGAAAAGGTAATGGAGAGAAACTGAGAAAGTACCCTTTTTCATATAGTAATGGAGTATCATATATTCCTTCACATGGATCAAGATGCATCCATCTATAATATTTAAAAAAAAAAAAAAAAAAAAAAAAAAAAAAAAAACATGCAACTTAGTGTTTAAAAAAAAAAAAAAAAAGGATATGAAATTAATGTTATTGGTGTCAAATTTACCTTCCCAAAACCATTGAATAGCATTCTGTCCACACGTGATCTGTGAAATCCAATATCTGAGAAGGAAGCCATTCTCTAATTACAATCAACCCCTCAAGTTTTGACTAAGAGCAAAAATCCCCTTGAAGTTTCTAACAATTACTAAACAGTCCCTAAACTCTTACCAGACGAGTTTCATAGCCAAAGGATCGGCAATAGAGTGAGAAGCAATTGGCCCACTCCCCACATCGACCCTTCTTTGTTTCAAGAAGCTACACCATGAAAGATGCCATGAGTTTAAAGAATCAGAAAGTGATTTTAAAAAATTAAAAAATTAAAAAATTAAAAAAAAAAAAAAAATTGTGTACCTTTATAGGATCATTATACCGTGGAAAACGGGTGATTCTTGAACATGATCTACAACTGGTCCAATTAAGAAAAATACATATGAGAAAATAAAGAAAAGAAAGGGATTAAATTAAACAAGAAATAATTTTTTTTTATACCGATAAAGTTCAACCCGAGAAGCTCCATAAGCAGTTTCTGAAGAATTTGGTGCACCCATTCCTTGATTGATAGTTTCATTGCCACAATTTTCACAAGGAGGTGAATTTACCCACCTAAAATTTTTACAAAAAGAAATTACAAAGATAAGTAACATAATTTTAGATTACAATGATAAAACCTAAGGCTAAATGCAAGAAATAGCAATGAACTTTGCAAAAAAAGATATATATTAAATGTCTGTTTAACAGTAAAATGCTTTAATAAGAAGAAATGAAAGTACAATGCTACAACATAATGGGTCAAAGAATCCACATATTGCACACTTTATAGAATTCAAAATGGAGAGCAGAAAGTAAAAAAACTAACTTAAATGTCTGTTTGAACCAGAAAAGAAGTTGAAGCAGGAATGCATGATCAAGCTCACTTTTTGATGGCTTGAAGTTCCCCTCCTGAAAAGAAAAAGAGACCATACATGTAAGAAAAATGACTTATCAGGCTTCGATAATTCTTATGCTCAAAAAGGTAATATATGTAATGAAAGATATCAAGTTAAGTGCAAAATATTCAGAAAAAAACAATTAGATTATGGACAGGATAAATGGAATGGCCTCAATGCCTTGAGTTTCTATGTTAGGTCTAAGTTGTTCTTTCTGCATTAAGTAAAAAAGAAACCAAACCTAAGCATATTGTAACTTTGTTTAAGGGAAAAAATGTAATCTAGATCTTTTCCACACTCAAATTTGAAATTTATTTCACACTTCAGAATAAAAACATGGAAACTTGAACCTTAGCTAAAGCAACTAATGCTTTCTCCTCAAGCTTCTCCACAGGAACTGTCTTCCTTGCAGCTTCTTGGCGACGTGAGTCTTCATACTACATGGACATAACATCACACACATGGTGTTAACTTCATAGTGTTTATTATGTAAAAGAAGGAGAAGAGAGAGTGGATATTACCAGAAGAACCTGATCTACATAAGGCCTGATTCTCTGTTCAAACTGCCTGCTATCTTGACTAACAGCAAACTGCTGAAACATAAGCGCTTCTTCTTCTGCCTGTAATCATAAGAAGCACTCGGTTGAAAAAAAAAAATTCACTTTTTGTCAAATCTAGGGTATGCATTTCTTACACCAATAGGTAAGAAATACCTAATTTTAATCATGTGCTGGCAAAATTGAGCTTGATCAATGGTGGTCTTTCCATACCTGCAACATTCGAGCTAGCTCTTCGTCGGATTTCACTGTCTCTGAACCCAATTGAGGGTTTTCGTCTTTAATTGAAACCAATCTAAGCTTATCGGATATTGCAATGAGATCAGAGTCATCGGAAATAACTCGATCGTCGTCGCCTCCGAGTATCTTCAAGTACAAATCGGATTAATCATCAGTAAGCGTATAATTCCATAGACATTCAACTTATCGGGAGATCGTAATTCCAATTAGTAACTAAAGAGAAGATGATCGACCTTTTGCTCATCTGGAGGAACTGCCGTGAGGGAAAACAACTGGAATTTGAAGACTTCAAAACCATCTTCGGTGTCGTAGTCGACGTCGAAGTTGGAATCTTGGTGGTGGATGAGGAACTTTCTTGCCACCATGATCTATGCTCTCCGTACAATTGGAAAGAATGTTCAACTACGAAACTCAGACGATGGAAACGTTGTCAACTACTTCTTGCCCCAAAACCTTTCTCGGTATGAAAATAATGAAATGGTAAACTACTTGACATAAGATAAGAATATATAATGAGAGAAAAGAAAACAAATCAAAGAAAAGAATATATAATGGGAGAAAAGGAAAAAAAAATGAATATATAAAACAAGTTAAAAAAAAAAAAAAAGGTAATGAATTGATTCTTTTCTTTTTATTTGGTTTCTTTGGACTTTGGAAGAGAATTTGTAGGAAAAATTATCATGAATCTCTTTTTCTTTAGTAATAGGGGTGTGCACCAAACCGCACAAATCGCATAAACCGTCCACACTGCACGAAACCGCACCGCCTAATGCGGTTTAAAACTAGTATGGTGCGGTTTGCGGTTTGAAATTTTGTTAAACCGCACTAAGTGGTGCGGTTTGTGTTTTCCAATTATAACAATGCGGTTCAAACCGCACCGCATATATATATATATATATATATATATATATATATATATATATATATATATATATATATATATATATATATATAATACAAACACATAAAAATTACACAGAAGATACGAATTTGGTTTTATTACTAATGAATTTTGATATCACCAATTTCAATTTTTGTAAACAAATTTGTGATAGATTATTTATCTGATTGTCTAAGGTAACAAAGACTAGTATTGTTAAAACATTGGCAAAACCAACTTATCTTGATTCTATAACTAATATATTTATGTATAAATTTTATGTACATAATATTAAAAATACATATACTTTTTGAAACCGCATAAACCGCAAAAAAACCGCATAAACCGCCCGCACCAAACCGCACCACATAACACGGTTTAGAACCTTCGCGGTGCGGTTTGCAGTTTTTTAAAATTTCAAATCGCACATGCGGTGTGGTTTGCGGTTTCGACTCGAAACCGTACCAAACCGCACCGCGAACACCCCTAGTAAATACATTCATAAGCAATGATTATTTTAAATCTTTCTGATTTCTTATTTTTTATTATTATTTAATTTAACTCGGGAAGGGAACATTACACCTTGTTTTTATAAAAGGAATGGAAAATGACTTTTAAGGGTAACTAACTGTTGCGCTTGTTTTCATTTGGTCGCTTTTCTTTTTTTGTACTCAATATACCATTGAACTTGTTGTTTGTGTTCACCATAGCCTTTTTGACCGGCTTTTGACCTGTGATAGTCGGTCAAAGGGTTATGGTGAACACAAACAACAAGTTCGATGGTATATTAAGTACAAAAAAAAGGAAAATGACCAAATGAGAATAAATGCAACAGTTGGTTACCCTCATGATTCATTTTCCTTTTACTTATTTACAGTAAATTTCATGTCATCTCCTGTTAATATTAATGATTTTATGATATTTATTTTTACTTCTCTTCAAAACATAACCCACGAAAGAATATTATTCATACATATACAACTTTGTAATCCACTTGAATATTTATTAAGGGAATCTTGACTAAGCAAATGCATTTCATGTAAATGACTACATGAGGTTTATAGGGCATTTTATCCCCACATCCGCTTAATCGATCCTTCCAGGTTCTTCCTTCCGCTGCTTCTTATCCAAACCTTGTGTTTCTCTATCTTCCTTCCTCCGCTGACACTCATCGCCACCACCATCCGATCCATCGCCTCCATCTCCGCCATGATCGAGAAGAAGATGTGTGTGATTTCTTACATCCATCGTCATCTCCAACTTTCGTTTCTTAGCTGCCTCCATCGCCGACACTTCCACCACAACTGCCATTACTGCCTCTAATCACAAAAACCAAACCTCTCATCAGGTAAATCATCACGAACGAAAGCTATCTCCAATTTTTGTTACTTCACCTTTCGTTTTCTTCTTATCTCATATACAATTCCTTCAGTCTGCTGTGCTCTTTTTACAGGATGATGGACCATCCACCAATTATATCGCTCCTTTAAACCCTTCCATGATCATGTTTGTGACCGGAAAGCACACCAAGCAGAGATCGATCGACAGGGAGTTGTCATCGATCTGAAAGCAAGGATGTTGCCGAGATCAGTCTCTCCGTTTACAAGGCGGGTTAGGTTAGGGATTTTTACCCTCTGCTTTCGCTTCTTTTCCTTGCTTTTTCTTGATTTGGGGTTCAATGATTTCTCAGTGCGAGCCAGCCTCTCATAAACCGCCATCCCTCTTATCAAATATCAGTCATTCCCACCGCTTCCTTTTTCTTCTACAACACCATTGCTACCCTTCTCCTTCCACGAACATCGATTGCACCACAACATGCTGTCAACACCTGTCTGTAGGGTAATATGTCGATATCACCCCTTCAGGGCAACACCTGCTAGGCGACTGAAGCTATTTATTCTGGTGATTATTCATTAGTTAACAAGAATTCGAGGTAGGGAGTATGGTCCATTAGGTAGGAATAGGATTATTATGATTTTTTTAATTTTTCGGTCTGTTTGGTAAATACTAATGATAGATTAATAAAATTGAATGAGCAGGGAGGATGTAAAAGTCCCATCATCACCCTACTTCTCGGCATATGCACAAGGTCAAGGGCCACCCGCGATGATGCAAGAACGGTTCCAGAGTGTTATCAGTCAGCTTTTTCAACATGTGAGTTGCTTCATCTCTGTCTTTATCCTTACTTAAACCATATAACATTTGTAATAAAATCATAAATTATCCAAATAAAGAATCTTCAAATAAAGAATCTTGAAACAGGTTGTACAACATGTTAACTAATATAGTAATATTATTTTTTTAATGATGTTTATTCTGATTTTCTTGCATTGATTTTTAGTTTTTATTTTAATTTATAAGTCCAAATGAAATAAATAGTAACATATAACATCCTTTTTTTTTTCACTTTATTTCTTAGGTGGGAGAATCCATTAATGGGGCGGACATCTATGCTAATGTTGGTGAAGCAGAACTCAGTTTTGAAAGTGGGGATGCAGCAAAAGCATTTATTGAGAAGCATGGTTGGGAATATGTGGTATATATGCTCCTACCATTATTTAAAACAACAAAAAATAAAAGTATAATTAAGTGATAAAAAAAAAGCAAGTTGCTTTTGTTGAAATGTTTGTTACAACATTATACGTTCTAAAATCCATCCAATTGTAGCAATGTCAATTTTAATGTCCTAATAAGAAAGAAATTAGGAAATACAATGTATGCTTGAACTAAGATATTATTTGGAACCTTTTAGATCATTTAAAACCTCATAAGGATGGAAACAACTCAAATCTGTTTTTTGGTCCATTTTTTACACAAACACCCGAAGATATGTTGGGGGTTGATTTGAAATTAATAACCATGCCCTCAAAATTTCCAAAGTTGACCTTCACTACAAAGCACTTATGCTTGAAAATTCTAATTATACACTTTTAATTATCATCTTTTATAGTTAGTAAATCATTCCATGAATTCAGTTAATAGTTTATATTGAGGAAAACTTAGTGTTGATGTTGCAGAAACACAATATTTAATGAATGGTCTTCCCTGGGCAGTCATTGACTTAAACCCTGGTCGTAACCGAGCTAGTTAGCATTCTTATTCTCTTATATACTCGGTGGATTTTGAAAATTACGAACTATAGTATATAAATTTGTTAAAATCTCATGATGCTGAAAATGTGAACAATACTCCAAAACCAAATCCTCAAGAAAATCTATTCCCGTATGCAAATCTTTCACACCCAAATTTTCCATACCAAAATCTTCCTCAAACTTTAAAACCAAAATTTGTATACCCAAATCTTTCACCAAAAAAAATCCCAATTCTCCTAATACCAAACTTCATCAGACCTAAATATTCCACTTGAAAATTCCACATACTCTCCATCCCTGAATTCCTTATATCAAAATTTCAAATACGTAAATTGCCCGTGACTTATTTGTAATCCAAACATGGAACATACTCAAGAAGTTATTCCCACCATCAAAATATGAAAATCCAACAAAATCTATTGGAGAAAAATAAATAAATAATTTTGGCAAATGTTTGGCTTCACATTGCAGAAGATAGCATTACTAGCATTACTGGAGCATCACAACACGAAAAAGAATTTTGGGTGCTAATATTCACATACCTTGAAGAAAACAACACATCAAGTGTGTTAAGAAATCAACAAACCTAAAAACCCATTGACATTGCATGAAAAAACTAGTTGTTGCGTTGAATATTAATTCATATAATATGCGGTGTTGAAAAGCCAAGACCTTAGCGGATGGTCTCAAGAACATCCAAGCAAGGCATCTTTTGTGCAATATCATGCAAGATTCACAGTCGATTTGGCTATGAGCACATTTGGAACATTGTTAAATTAAAAATGAACGAAAATGGCAACCTGCAAGCTCTGTGTGGATCTGGGGCGTGTAGAACTTCATCTAGTGTAGAAGGTTTTATCAACATGGATGATACTCAAGTTTTAACTCGTCCAATTGGTTCAAATGTAGCCAAGAAAGCAGCAAAAGGTAAATCCGCTAAGTCCACTTTATCATCAAGTAGCCGACATGATAAGATACTTGAACAAAGATAATAAAAAAAAATATGAATGCTACAAAAAAAATCTTAGTATTATACAATCAAGAATAGATTAAAGTTAAAAAAATAATTATTGTAATTTTAAGTTATTTATTTTTTGGAAAAACCTTTGCGAAGAAATCAAAATAAAATATAACTTCAAGGCCGCAATTTTTAGTTATTTTAATTTTAAGTTTTGTATTTTTAATGTTAGAAATACGTCTAATATAATAAATGAATATTAATTTTGTTACAGGTCAATCTCTCATAAGTTTTAATACTTGTCATTTTTGATATTTTTAAAATAAAATAATATCCACATGCTAATTTCTATATTTTTTCAATTTTTAAAGTTAAGGTCACATAATACATATATATACTTATATATGTAAAGTATTGAATATAATAAATATGATAATAAATTGTAGTTAATAAGTTTTTCATTTCTTATTTCAAGATTTTATTTAAAAAAAATATTTTTGTTCACATTTTGATATTTAATTTTTTTAATCAACTCATGTATTACACGGATTTTACACATAGTTTTAATATATATATATATATATATATATATATATATATATATATATATATATATATATATATATATATATATATATATATATATATATATCAATTCATGGAACTCTATCAAATGCAATTTTTTGTTATTGTAATTTTAAGTTATGTATTTTTAATGTTTAGAATTATTTTAACAAAATATACATATACAGCTGATTTTTTTTTAAATTAAGGGAGTAATATAGAAATCTTGTTTTCAAAAATAGGGTTTTTTGAAATTGTGTTTAAAGAAAAAAATCATTTATTTTTGGTCCCACCATAAAAAATACATCTTCTTGGAAATTTTCAATTTTAACTCTTGGAAATTTTCAATTTTAACTCTTGAAAATTAAAGATTTAATCCTTCAATATATACCATATTTTTTATTCATACCTTTATATATATATATATATATATATATATATATATATATATATATATATATATATATATATATATATATATATATACTTTTATTTTACAAAATATATAATTAGTTTTCAACTCTAATCCTTATAAATTATATATTTAATCATTCGTTTGTTTTTCTTACTTATCCTTAATTAGTATATGAATTATATATTTTAATTCTTGAAAACTAAAAAGAATTAATATATTGTTTTATAAATAATATAATAATATTTTATATAAATTTTAAATAATGTTTTATTAAATTAAGTTTGATTTGTTATTTCTAAAGAAAAAAGATGATGTGTCTCCAAAAACAAAAGTTATATTTACTATACACCTCAATAATCAAATAAATGACTATACGAATTGTCACATCATATTTCAAAATTTTCAGCATTTTTTACACTATAAATTCAGTCTTTTTGATGTAGATTCATTTCATAATTCCTTCAAAATCTTTCATCAATATATTCTCATTATACGTTCATCCATCTTTCATTCGTCTTTGCGTCTTCAACAATCAAAATTCGTTAATCGCTTAATTATAAAGTATGTATGTTTTATTTGAACATCTTTGCATATAGTTATTTTAAATATTATTTATGAAATATTAATTTATCTATTATATTTTAAAATAGTTTATGTAGTGACATTTTCCTATATGTTATCATTATGAGTCTAGAACGTCCATTTTTGATTAATTTATATTGGGGTGGGAGATTGAATATGAAAATGGATTCATAAAGAGTGATCAATCGACTCTGACCACTTCAAATATTCTTAGACGTAAAAAGGGATATGAAAAATTTAAAGATTTGATTTATGCACATGTTGAAGTTGATAAGATAACATATAAGTTGAATATGTTACTATTTTACCAATTTGGTGGCATATATAATACCTCACGAGTCATAAATGATTCATGTTTAGACATCATGTATTATTTGGCTGATAATGACCAAAATTATTGTGGGCAAGTTATTGTTGAAATTGAAAAAATATCTCATAAACAAACAATTTTGCCTACAAATATTGTTTTTGTAGATCTTCTTCGCACTTTTGATGTATCACAACCGATACAGTAAAAAGTAACTAACTCCTCAAATCTATCATTTCCTTTGCTCAATAATGATAAATCTGAGGTAGAAGATGACTTTCAGTTTGATGAACCCAACTCACAGGATAGTGAAGATAGTGCAAGTGAGTCATTAAGCAATGTTGGGGATGATTTAGATGATGTGTGTGAAACTCTAGTTGTGAACTTTATGAATGATGTTGGAGATGTAGGAGATTATGACATTGAAAATTGTCAAGATACCATTCGTATAGATGTTTGGAAAGAATCAGAAAACAAAATAAAGGTTAGGAATGCAATTTGAAAGTAGAGTAGAAGTAAAGATGGCAGTAACACTTTGGTCGATCTCTCAAAACAGAGTACAAAGTGTATGAAAGTAAAAGTAATTTATGGGTAGCAAAGTGTAAAACTTTAGGAAGTGGAGGAGAATTTTCTAGTTTTGCTTCATATACACCACGTTGTACATGGTATGTTTGTGCTGTTAAGAAAAAAATTATCATAGGTGGAAGATTACACGTTGGGTGGGTGTACACAATTGTTTTGGGTCATGTGCATGTAACATTACAAGGAAAAAGCCAATTAGCGGCGACAAAAGTCGCCGCTAAAAGGTCTCATTGTCGCCGATAATGGTAATAGCGGCGACACGTTGTCGCTACTGCTTCGTCACTATTGATAAACTTGTCGCCGCTATAGAGTATTGT